TGACAGGCTTTGGGCCTCAGAGAAGAATTGCTTTGGTTACCAAGGACTTCTGAGCAGCCTCAACTTTCATAATGTTTACATTCAATGTGATGACTTGTTTAAAAGATCACTAATAGGTGTTTCTGAATAATCAGAAAACTTTTAATTTATTTTTTTAAAAGTCCTTTTACTTAAGATGCTTTTAAAGCTAGCTCACCAAGATTTCTGTTCTGTTCCCTAGATTTGCTGAGAAAGTTTCTCTCATGATCCAAGTTCACATTTTATTTCAAAACTCCTTGGCTCCAACCAGTAACTTAGAGTTGAGCTTAGGCATCACGTTGATTTCAAGGAACAGTACAGGTTGTTTTTCCTCCATGAGGAAAACCAAACTCAGTTGCATGAGAAGAAAAGTGAAAAATGGTTTTTAGCTGCTGGAGCAGGAGTAAATATTCATTAACAGCCACTTAGAATTATCAATCTCCAAGATTAGTTCAAGAGGCCCTGTAATGGTAGCTTGAAGTACAAGCTAGTGAGTGATCCAGTTGTCCAGGCAAATTAGCAGAGTGAGAGTGAGCAGCGCTGCAGAGCAAGGGCATGGTTGACCTCAAGCAAAAGGTGCTACCATGAGCAACCTGGGATCACATGGGTCCATTTGTAAAACACTTTATCAGCTTCTAATTGTGTCCAAGACAAAGCTCACAAAGCCACAGTTCTAGGCTCAGCTTAAGAAAGACCCTTTCTCGCAGACAAGGATTGTTAACAAGCCTCAGTTTCCCATGGTTTTCTAAGGATCATCAATTCCTCCTGTTCTCTTGCTCATTCTCTGTTGCATGGGTCTCTCCAGTGTGGATCTCACAATATGGCACATTACTTCATGTATAGGAGAGTATTACCAAGAAAGAGGTCAGCAGCTTTTATAACATAATCACAGGAGTGATGAGTCCTAACTTTTGCTGTGTTCTGTTCATTATGAGCGAGAAACTAAACTCAACCCACCATCAAGGGGATAAGTATTTTAGAAAAGAGATGGGGGATTGGGAGATTCCATAGACACCTAGTGGGAACACTGAGAACTATTGCAGACACTGCCTACATCAAGCCTGATGCACTTGCTCTGTCTACATTGATAGACCAATAGTGGCTGAGGTGTGAATATCACATTTACAATATTAAATATACCGAGTACTAACTTGAGGGCTAGGAATGTGGTGTCCCTTGTAGGTCCCACATTGACTAAGTGCTCAGCCAAGCTTATTTGAGCACCAAGAGACCAAGGGAATGAGGCTCCAGGAATGGTTGAACTTTGGGCCTCTGAGATTATAAGTGAAGTCAGGGCCTTCATGATCATATCTGTATTGTACATATTCTGAAGATGGAGAAGCAGAGGCTTCCAGTCATATTCCATTATAGATCTTAACGTTTTGACGAGTACTTTCTAGAGACAGGGCCTATGAACAGGTTCCTAAAATAGTTACTAAGATGGGAGGATGAGAAGCTTTGTTTGTTTTAATGATTCCCCTTTTCCTAACTTCTCAAATAAAGAAATGTGAGTTTATCTTAACACTTTTCTATTTCATTTGAAGTTTTCTATTAGAAAGTCTGTGCGTCTTTATGAGACGAATGCACACCTGTTCTGGTGTGTAACTCACAGGTCACCATATCTCTTGATTTGGGAATTTAGGGATGAATGTTTTAATTCTTTGAGTCTTCTTGCCCCTGACTGGCTCCTGGAAATACCATAAAGCTTCTGATATGCCCACCTCCGTAAGACACAAGCACCCTTGCAGATAAAGTGAATGCTTCCGAATGATGCTGGGCCTGCGCTTTATGTGGACCTCGGGTTACCACCTGGTCACCTCAGCAGGCTAAAATCTAGTTAGTATGTATGCTGCAGCTTGTGCACATGCACCACTAAGGCAGAAACTGTGTCTCAGACTTCTTACTATCCACAGCATCTCGTAAGGATGCTGGTGTGGAGCGGGGATTGTAAAGAAATGTGAAATGGTAGAAGATGCCGCAGGAATATATAATGCACTTTGATTTCCTTCACTACCCGTTTTTGGTGTTAACTATGCTTTGTTGGTTGGTTGGTTTTTTGTTTGTTTATGAAAACAGCACAAGGCATGATAAATGTACATATAACTATTTATAATTTATCTATAACATTTTATATAGACTTTAAACTAAAGTAAATGGTGGGTGTTACAAAATGATGTTTTCCTGGAGTCTGAGGTGTTAACATCACCTCCCTCTCAACAGAGGTTTAGCTTATTTGACAGTTTCAATCTCTTACTCCTACCAATAGCTCTTCCTTTTGTTTTTAAGTGATCTTGGAGGATTTTATTTCAACATTGACTTATGGGAATCTTACATATGTTATTTACTATGTTGCTTTGTGGTTTTAGTGTTCTACCCTCGGCCTTTTGTTTCCTTATGATGAATAAAACACTTATTTACAAATTACCTCATGTTTTCCAAGACTACCAATGGATAACCATCTATAGTTAAAGTGGAATAACGTGTTCACCATCTGAAAACCAAGTAGTGTGGGGTGCAGAAACCACAAACTTGACATGGAGTAACCTATGATCTCACGGCTCAAAGACTTTTACTATGTAAAGGGAATTTTGGTAATGTGTGGGATATACTTTTATTTATTTCTATTATTATTGTTTTTTAAGGTTATTTTTAATTTTGTCTTAGTGTGGAAAATAAGGAAGCCTGATGATTAGAGCCTTGCAAAGGCCACCTCTTAGGTTGGTCACGCTGTAGAGTTACAGTTATCTTTCCTGGACTGGGACTAGAGATAGCGTCGAGCTCCTGTACTTACACACGAACTCACAAAGTGCATCATGTATGAATATTCTTTGTGCACAGAAGTTTAAAAGTATTAAAGTAAATCGTCAGACAGTTTCACACGGGGTCAGCCCTGTTATGTGAAAGCTTTTCCGCTGATAGGTGAGTGAGTAAGGAGGGGGAGACAGGTGGGAAATAAGCCTCGGATTTTCCATTGTATAGAAGTACTTTTGGAATCTTTAATTTACAGAAGAAGTCAGTTTATTCAGTAGCTGGGGAGGCTCATGTCCCCATCTGTAAGCTGGTAATATGATGCTCTAGTGTTTTTTTATATGTCATCATGGGCTTCTGTGTAGTTTCTCTGGTACACCATACAATAACTTAATCTCCTGGATTTATTTCTCTTAGTAAAAGACTGAAAAACCTCCATTAAACAAACAAGCAAACAAAAACCCAAAACCCTTACAAAAACAATTATACATTTGACACTGCTTTGAGCCTGCCTATCTTGAAGTATCACGTTAAAATCAGTCATTTGCATGTGGTACAACAAGCTCACAGAATTTGAAGTAAGTTTGTCTCCACTCAGCTGAGTGCAGTGGTAGATTCCCCACCACCTCTCATGACTAATGGATAACCAGGGGCTTTGTAAGGAACTGGAGTCACCTGCATGTGCTGTATTCGTGGTGTGTGCACGTGCAGCAGAGGCCTGGAGGAAGGAGGCCATTTCCTGGATCAAACCAGAGTACAAAAATATTATGCCCTAAATAACACAGTAGTTACTGCTAATGTCAGTAGGGGGAGTTTTCCCAACTTTGATTTAATGGGAACCTGTAGCCAAGCCAGCTGTTAATAGTTCTTAACTGCTTGTCAGGGAGACCAGGAGAGATGCAGAGGCACAGAAGCATCTTTTCTCTATATTCTGTCTCAAGAGTTTCAGCAGGTGTTGAATAGTGACAATGGTGGCCCTTTGGTGTCTGACGTCCTTTAGCTGTTGGACATGTGAGTTCTGCAGGAGATTTGCATGAATCTGTAACTCCATAAATGAGGAAGTTTATGCAGAAGTCTGGAGCTCCTCTCTTGCTCAAAATGAGCAATTTTTCTGAGCTCCTCATGAAGAATAACCTGAAGGTAGAGGAGTGAGGAGGCCTGTGAATGCTGGGTCTCTCTTTGTCACTGTTAGGATCACCCAACTAATTTTAAGCCATGTGCATTTTGATTGATGTCAGCTGCTTTTGAACAAAGAAACCACTTGAAGCAAGTCCGCAGGGGAGAAAGTATGTGGGCTTCATTTCTGTGAGTTTTGTCATTTCTAGAGAATATTAGTAAACGCATGTGGCTGTTGATGATCTGACCGCCCTTCAGAATCCTTTTGACTTTACTCTGCCAGTGTACCAAGTGGAGATAATCTTAAAAAGTAGGGAAAGTTTATGATCTTATCCTAGAAAGAGAAGGAGAAGAAAGGTCTCTTCCTCAGATGATTTATAACTTGAAACATGTTGTCATGTTTTTAGTAAACCTACTTTATTAATTCCATCCTTCTCTGTGGAAAATTAAAAGAAGATAAATGCCCTGGTGCAACACCATGCTTTCTCAATAGCATATTATGCTTACGATAGCATGGTGGCGTCATGGGCCTGAGCCAGTCATACAGAAAGCACAGCCAAATTCTGAGGAAAACCTCTAATTGAATTACCTGCGGAGCACTGACAGACAAGCTTTCAGGACAGACAAAGCTCTGCTTTCCCCCAGCAGAAGTAGGTCAAGTTGAAGTCCTCCTTGTAACTGTCTGTTACTGGTTTTGACAGCACTCTCACTGTGGGGATCTGCTGGGCTCTTTTTTCTTGCGGTTGAGGAGCTGGTCCCGAAGAAGAGAGTTCAGGCCTTATCCTCCCAATTTAGAGAAAATTGATAGCAGATCCAGTGAAAGGGAAGTGACTTTGAAATGAAGTCCTGAGCATTTTTCTGTAAATTACCACATTCCTGCATGACTTTTCCTTTATTGTTTTGGGAAAAAAAAAGATGGTAATATGAGAGCGATCTTCCTATAGTATTTAGCTCAGTCTGGAAAGTATTGTTTGTTTTAACTTCAGGACAAGATGCAGACCAGAGTATGTGTCCTGCAGGAGTGTGAGTAGAGCAGTCATTTGCATGTGTGAAACAAAGAATAATGCGGTGTTATTCTCTCCCTTTTCTTTTGCCCTCTCTCTTTGCCTTACCCACAGCCTCTGCAATCCCAGACAATGGAAGAAGGTCCTGCCTAAAGCTCAAAGTCTTTGTGAGGCCAACAAGTAAGTTCCTAGAAAGAGCTTCCAAGGGTCCCCCTCACTGCGCATGCTTCATCCTATGGTCTGGTTCACAGCGGTAAAATTTTATTTCATTTTATTTTTTACTGTCAAGACTTGTGTAGTACCTGTTTTGTATACCCACATCCATATTTGAGTTTTCCATCGTATTTTTCCCCATTCCTCATGACGCTTTTTATTTTGTGTATCGAAGGACCCAGCAGTTGCTAACTTGTTGTTTCTCAGACTGTTGTCACAGCAAACGGGAACGATACTGGCACGTGGATACATGCCATGGATTGTAAAAAACAGTCTCTACATTAATAAAAGGAAACGATAGAGAGAAAGAAAAAAAAGAGGAAGCGGGAGTTTAAGGGTGTCTTCACTAACATATTTGGCTGTTATCTCTATTTTCGTTATAGATAGCTGTATGAAAACTATAGGTGTTCATGATCGTGTTTTCGATGTTAACGACAAAGTAGAAAATTCATTAGAACCAGCAGGTTAGTATGCTTAGAGAATCTCTTGTTAACCAACGCATCTCTCTCCCGATGCTTTAGTACTGGTTTTCCTTTCTTCCTCTCTGCATGCCTGCATGCTCCTGGCGTTTCTGCTTCCGCCCATTGCTAGCCGCTTGCTAATGTTATCTTCTATCTCTCATTCCTCCAGTATTTTTGTGTAGTGCATGCTAGACAGAGTACCACTTTTCTTTCTTGGACACGGGTCCTGTTTGAAGCAGTTACTCTAATATAGAAGCCCTACCAGAATACTAAAACCCCACTGCCTTCTACCACATCCTCAAGCGTGCCGGTGGGTCACGGTGCTTATAAAGGCCACTTTTCATACAAGACAGACAATATTTCTACTGTACCTGTTTATGAAACTTTTTTTTAACCATATCCAAATCCATGGATAAAAGCAGTAAGACCACTGCACAAAATAGCAACATCTATAGTTTTCTCTATAATTTTATGTACATCAGTGAAACTGATCTAAACCATGTATATCACGTCAGTGTTATTTATCCTGTTGTTGATAGCTGTTGATCTGGAGGCATGCAATCCTATAGCCACTACAATTAGACGAGGGAGCTCCTTGAGCCAGGAGTAATCCTTGATAATCAGACAAAACAAGTTTTAAAGATAATTTTCTTTTAACGCCACTGACATGCATAGTCAAACTTCCTCATCAGGGTGAAAAAAAATAAAGGCTCCAAATGTATTCATTGACTCTGTGAGTTCGAGACTAGCCTGGTCTACAATGTGAGTTCCAGGACAACCAGGGCTAGACACAGAGAAACCCTGTCTCAAGAAAAAAAAAATCATTTAACCACTTAGAGTGTAGCCTACTGTGGATGGTGTAGACTGGGAGAAGCCATTCGTTTGCTTATGAATTTATCCTGGCTTTTGAATGCAACCAGACCCATTCTGATGGGTGGCAAGCAAGCTTGTAGAAGCTCCTATCTTCCTTTCTACCACCCACCTATGTAGATCTTAACAGTTTTCTTTATCCATCTCCCATGACCATCTTAGAGACCATCTACAGAGAAAATTATTTCCTCTTCACCAAGAGATGTGAGTCCCCTTATGCATATGATAAGTTCTCTGTGTTGTTTGTTTGTTTGTTTGTTTGTTTAGTTTCATAGTAGGATTTTTCTTTGTTATGGTTCTAGAAACTAAAGGGGTTTTTAGTCCGCTCATCCTCGGAGTTTTGCTATAGGGATAACAGGCAATGAGCCTTAGGGAAACAGTCTGAGTAAGTGCTGTGCCTCAGGCTTTAGTGCTGTGGCCGCCAGGAAGAGTCAGGCCTTCCCACACACACTCTAGTCTTTTTTGTAAGGCAGGCATCTCACCCCCGAGCATAAATGAGAGGTGTGTACAATGAGATTTGGAGGCCTTAATATCTCCCCAGGGAGCAGTTAGCCGCTTTAGAGGGGAGTAAGAAGTGAGCGCTGATACGAGACATTTTAATTGTGTCCTGAAAAACCAGAAGCATTACTGTGACTTTTCAAAGGAGCAGACTTCAAGCTTGAGGACATGACCACCATAGGGACAAGTTAAACAGGAGCTCTTTCAAACTACAGAATCTACATTCTTCTTCCCATGGCCAAGGAAACCTGCCTAGGCCACTCAGCTTGTCAGAATTAATATCCTTGTTTCTCACTGCTAGGATAATAGTAACAGCCTCTTCCCCTCCTAGAGGGATAGATGTTCAGAGAAAACACTGACCTCTCTTAGCTTTGCTACTAAGTCATGAGTAGAATGACCAGCAGGTTAGGCCTGTTATAAAGTTGCCCAGGGCTATAATTTTGATACATATTTCTCATAATCTTATTTTCCAGGGAAAGTCAGTTGCCTCTCTAGCAAGTTAGAGCCTGTCTGGAGACATGCGAGATTTCATGATTTTTGTTTTCTCTTCTCCCTCCCTCCCTTCCTTCCTTTTTCTCTCTTTCCCTCCCTCCCCTTTTCTCTCTTTCCTTCCTTCCTTCCTTCCTTCCTTCCTTCCTTCCTTCCTTCCTTCCTCCATCCTTCCCTCCCTTCTTTCCTCCCCCTCCCTCCCTCCTTCCCTCCTTCCCTCTCTTTCTTTGTCTTTCTTCCTTTCTTCCTTTCTTTCTTCCTTTCTTTCTTCCTTTCTTTCTTTCTTTCTTTCTTTCTTCTCTTCTGTTAATGAAGAAACATACAGAGGACAATTCTGTTGCTAAGAAAATCACCTATGAATTCAACTAATGATAAAATGCAGACATTAAGATACTCTCATACATGACCATATGTCAGTGTCTTCTAAGAAACAAGTTATTTCTCATACAGAACGTGGAATTCACAGTGGTCCCAAATCTATGAACATATAACTAATTGACAGAAGTTTGGAACGTTTGGCAGAATGTAGTCTAGTGACTGTGTATTTGTGTGTATGTGTATGTTTAAGCATCCTCACTAGCATGGTGAGGGGGTGCTGAGCCACCGTGCCTGGAAATATGAATGTATTAACAGATTTGAGTGTTTCTCTTTATTTCCTAGAAAATTCTGTCAGTCATACTTGCTGTTCTTTTCCCACTCTGTTGACTGTTTCAATTAACAGCCAGCTCGAGATGTACACATAGGCTTTAAGGATGCCACCAGTGCTAGATACACACACAAGCTTTAGGGACCCAGCGAGCCTGAAAGGTTCTACTGCATGTTCTCAGCAATATGTTCTAATTCACCTGTCTGTGGAATGCATTTGTCTTTATTGTTTGCTTGCACATGCTGCCTGCCAGTTTCCTACCTTCAGGGATGCAGGATGATCTTCAGGGCAGACATATGTCACTTTACATGCTCCAAAATATCATTAGTGTTCTCAGTTAGCCACTGAAACCCCTGTGTGGTGGAATACTGTAACTAAGAGGCAAGAATCCATTTGGCTTCTAAAGAGGAACATTTTCTTCTGCCAAACCACACTCACTACTACAAGTATTAATAATCTCTTATATGTAGGTTTAATTTCAATTAGGATCGATTTTTACTTAAGAGTTTCAACTTAGAATTCTGAAATTTCTTCCCTAGTTATCCAAATGATAGCCAGTTTTTTATTCAATGCCAGGAGTAAGGGGTGTGGGTAGTCACATATAGAGTTCCCCACCAAGGACCTGTTTTAATCAACTCATAGTTTGTAGAATCCTGACTCATGAACATCATATTGTAGGAACAAGAGCATGCAGTGGGTTTTCTCATTCGAGGGAAACACAGGGGAGTATGATTCTCCCCGGTAAGAAAGTGTACTCTTACTATGGCATGTGTGGTAGGTGAATGTACCTGAGGCTAAAGTAATGGACAACTCAGCTCTCAGAAATGCTAATTTCAAAGGTTATCTGTGAACACAAGGTTTGAAAGGTCCATTCAAACTTATGCTTCACTTAGAAGAAAAATCAGTTATTCCACAAAGTTCCTTCACTGTGCCTTGAGCTGAGTGAGCCTGGGACAATGGGTAGCCTTTGCTAAGCCACTGCAAGGGGTGCGAAGCAGTGAAGCCCTGCCCTGCATACTTGCCCCAAGTACAGAAGTACAACTGGAGTATCTTTTAACAATACATTTCCAAAGTTTCGAAAGGAGAAAGATTGACTGATGTGTTATTTTGAAAAGGGTGGAACAGAACCCCAGTAGGTGATGTAATTTTGGGTGTATAAATATAAGTGAAGTTTCAAAATGAGCTGTGGAATCCTCAGGGTTTATAGCTCTTTTATAATTAAGCCTGAAGTGCTCCATTGTTTTGATTGACACCATATTGGTGCTCTTAAGAATGTGATTTGGATTTTAATTTCAGGGCTATTAGGGGCCTTTACTTCTGCCTCCTGTTAACTACAGATTTAATTAATGCATTACCGAGGCTGAAAAGGAGCAGAGAAAGGATGAGGGCCCACATGTATGCTGAATGGGATTTACCTCCCTATTCTTGCTTCCTAACCTTTTCTAGTCTCCTAAGCTAAAAGCAATCTCTCCGGGTTTGCTAAAGTCCAGCAGCAGAGAACAGATTAAACAAAGGGCTGCTGGGGCTCCTCTATGAGGACCCAATGAAATGATAAGTTCCCTACAGGGCAGAAGACTTTAATTCTGAGAACGCATGTTTCTTTGTTCACATGGGACATGAAGGGGATGAGCAGAAACTTCCAGAAAGTGTGAGCCAAAAAAGGAGTTTCCTCTAGGATGTATAATAGAGAGTATGACTCTCCCCAGAAAGGAAACGTACCCTTATTATGCCATGTGTGGTAGGTAGACATGCATGAGGTTAAACTAATGCACAAGCTATTAAGACACACAAAGTAGGTCACTGAAGGGTGTTAGGGATTGTCTTGTGGGGTCTACATAAGTGAGAACAAATGCTGGAGTCTCACTTGTTACTGCTGTCTCTGATTCTTCACCAGTCAGCAAATCCCAAGTAGCAATTCTTGTGTTCCCATGGGACGTCCCCCTGATGCTGAAACGAAATCTGCTCAGAGGCCAACTGTCAGCTCCAGAAACATGTCCAGAGGTCATCTGGGCTAAAAGCATAAGCTAGGCCAGATGGGGGGAAGGAGCTGGGCCACATTAGAGAATCGTACAGCTCGTGGGCAAGCCTCCAATCTATCTTTGGGCACTAATTACTGCAAAGTTCCCATTTCAAAGTTAAGCCTGTTAATCATGCAGATCAGGGAGGCTATCCAGAGTCAGAGGCAGCCTCGTAGAACACTTTATAGCTAAATAAAAGAAGCTTAACTCACTTAATCCATTTTATTTAGAGGAAAATTTGCATCCACACTGATAATTTATGTGCCAAGCCTCAGCCTGATAAAAATAAGAATAGTCAAGTTCAAGTAATTTAATCTGGGAGATGCAGGGCCTGTAATGGAAATAGTACCATAATTGATTCCTAATTGTAGGCAGCCCAGTAGGTACGGGATTTCTGAAGTTTCCTGGGTATTATATATAGTTTATTTAAAATACTGTTGTCTTGGCATTTAATTTTTTTCACATTTGAAAATACACCAAACAACCAAACATTCAACACTAATCCTGTGAAATGCCTAAAAGGAAAAGAATGAGCAACCCAGCCTGGTTAACCACTAATATACCCACATAACTCTTCCTCTTCCCTCCCAGTGTGTTACTTCCTCCCACAGTACTTCATGCTTAAAGGTGCTTTCCCCAGTTTGTGCCAAGTGCATCTGACCCATAGCGAATCAGAATAGCGTCTATAGTGAATATTATACTGTATGCACAGTTTACCCCTCGGTTTCAAGGCAGAGTATAAATATTGTGAAGGAAGTCCAGTTTCCCCTGCCTCTCCTTTGTTAGCTGTAAATAATGAATGATTATGCAGACATGAAAGTCAATGGTGGCACAAGGTTCATTACCCTACTTTGCAGAGGGTGGTGAGGTCTGTTAACAGCAGGCTGCTGCAAGAGAGTTATTAAGGATGTGAAATCTCATTGGAATGTGTACTTTCTATTTGAACAGATGACACCGTACATGAGTCAGCCGAGCCATCCCGCGGTGAGAACGCGGCACAAACACCAAGGATACCCAGCCGCCTTTTGGCAATCCTACTGTTCCTCCTGGCGATGCTTTTGACATTATAGCACAGTCTCCTCCCGTCACCTGTCACAGAAAACATCAGGGTCTTGGAACACCAGAGATCCACCTAACTGCTCATCCCAAGAAGGGACTTGTTATTGGTTTTTGGCAGATGTCAGATTTTTGTTTTCTTTTCTTCAGCCTGATTTCTAAGCAACAACTTGGGTTTGTTGGGGGGTAAACTAGTTGCTGCCTCCTTCACCCCACCCCACCCCTAGCCCTTGCCCTTGACTCCTCTCTCCCCCTTCCCAATTAAATGGAGTCCAGATAAAAATGCCAGATTGTCAGAGTGACAGCAGCGGGTCTTCGCCTCCTGTGCATTCTTCTCTAGAGCTCACCTCCGTAAGCTCAGGGTGTTGACCACATATGCACATGAGAAAGAATAGGCAGATGCTGCCTGCAGTGTCTGGGCCTGAGAGGGGTAGCCTCTCCTATACGATACTTACGCCTTCATGGTCAGGATAGTAAGGCAGTCGTGTGGAGCATGGTGTTGGCCTGTCAGGTCCAAAGGGGTGGAGTTAAGAATAGGCATAATATTATACCACATCCTCTAGAACTGTAGAAGCGAGCAGGCTTCTCAAAGGTTCAGATACTAGTTTTTATTTCATTAAATAGGACTGTCTTAAAGCATTTTTTTTTTTTTTTTTGCCAGCAAAACTTGGGCTGTGTCAAAGAAGCCTCTTCTCCCAGAAGGAGGGTTGGATGCAGGGATGCTAATACAGAGGAAGTGTGAATATTGAGAAAATGATCTGTTGCTGGGTGTGTGAGTGCCTCTCACTTTTTAGTGACCAGGCAGTGCACACCTGAGGGTTTATTTTTTTCCTTTGAATACAGTTCACCATGGTGCTACAACTTTTTTTTTCTTTTTAGGAGCTCAAAGAGGCATTTTTATGAATAAAGTGACCTTCCCCAAGGCTGCCAAGCCAGGCTTGATGAGTAGAGAGTGAAATAGCTTTGGCCACTCCTCTGGGGACAGTACGTTCAAGGAAAGAGTCTGGCCAGAGGAGATGCAATTTGGCTTTGCTGGAGCTCCAGTGTGCTGTGGCCTTTCCCCAACCCCCACCCTGATACCCATGTTCTGCTCCATGCTCCATGACCACAGGGGACTCAGACACAAACCCCTGTCACCAGGAGAGTCAGTCAGCACTACTTGGGAGGGCTAAAGGGAAATTTAGAATACAAATTCCAAAGTTTGGAATAAGAAATTCAAGTGTTGATTTTTATATTTTTTCCCTTTCTGACACAGCCTAAAGCGTAGGGGGAACACATGTTTATCTGTGGGAGATAAACAAGATGGAGTCCCAAAGACTTTGACAAAATATTTTTTTAAAAATCCACTAGAATAGAAAATACATTATTTAGATATACTTTATGCTGAGAGTGAGTATATATGCTTGTCCTATTTAAACTTGTGAGAAAAGTGGTATCCCTTGATACATTTAGAAACACAGGGGGTTATCTTGTTTCATAGTAGAGTTTGGGGCAGAAGAATGAATACAGGATGACCCTGTTTAAAGAACCTTAGCATGGCCAAGGGGGTGGTTCCAGCTGATTGCCCGGAAACACAAGCTGTGGGGTTTCTCCTGGTGGGGTGTCAGGAACTTTAAATCCCAAAGCCTAGACAGGGAATAATGTAAGACCAATGGAAAGGTGATCTAGACTATTTTTGCTATTGCACGACATCAATAGAAACCATGCCTTTGTAAACAAGCAAGTCAGTAAATGCAATGATCATGTGGAAAATTGAAAGCATTCCAGTTTAAAAAAAATAAGGATTTTTTTATATATTCGTTTTTAAGATGTATATGTAAAAAAAAAAGAATTCACATTATAGATGGACTTCATGGATCGGAAATTGCTTAGAATTGCGAGTGGTTTCAAATTAGAAAAAGATGTGAGTGGAAGGCAGCTGTGAACGAACTGCACCCTAGAGACTTGTACGCGCGTTGGAATGTCAGCTGGGCTTACTTACCTGGTCCCTTTGGAGTGGAGGCGACTGGAGTCCTGCTCTCACCTGAACCACGTGACCGGAGTCGCCAGCCTCAAAGATAGAGTTAGTCCTCTCCCCTCTTCTCCCAACATCTGAGACTTCTCTGGAGTAGCAGTCTCATCACAGAAGGCACCCACCATTTTCACTGAAACAGAACTTCAAAGCATTGGATTCCTTTGCCTTTATTTATGCGCTTGAAACTCTCAGTGATATCCAGATGTATTCTTTTTTATTAATAGTTACAGGTTTGTGGGTTAGTGGGATTTCAGTAAAGGGACAAAAAAAATCCCTTCGAAGATGGATTAATAGAACCAAGATAATACTGCATGTACTACAGTCAAGGACACCAAGTGATCCTGTGGTAATTCCAGTTAGTCCTAACGACATTAGCAGCTCTAATGTCATTGTAGAAATGGTGAGTTCAGTGATTCTAGCATTGTCTCTAACAAATGATGAAATAATTCCTCATGGCCCTCTCTGCCATTGTCTTTCATTTCCCACTGTGCAATTAGACCTTTTACTTCACTGCCATGCCACCGATGATTAAGTTTAAAAAAGAGAAAAACTATCCACGCCAGTAGACAATATGCTTTTTACCTGTGACATAATCTTAGCTAATACGCTTATGCCGAGTTTTCAAGACGATTGGTGTCAGACAGTTTTTATCTTGTCCAAAAATGCGCTGGTGGCTTTTTGTGGTGTCTTTACAATCGTCTGTGGGCTAAGGATGTCGCGCAACTTGGTAGTTGGTTTCATTTTAAAAACAATGGAAAAACGGGAAGGGCAGCCCTGGAGCCCCTCAGCCCCACTTGGTTAAACCCCAGCGACCTTTGCCCCTGGTTGCCAAGGGCTTTGCAACATGAAGCAGGGAATAAAGATCTGTCTGTTTAGTGGATACTGTGTATCCTTTAATAGACCAGGTAACAGTTCGTGTTAGTTTTAGACTATTGTTTTGTACTGTACTTTCTTGGGTGGCAGAGGAAAGAAACGTTAAAATGTTAAAAAAAAAAAAAACTGCGTTCTTTAATTCTGTATTATTAGCGACCTCTGTTGTATATAGTGTTTGATAATAAAGTATTAATTTGATTCTTATGTCTTTTGTAAGTGAAAACAGACTTTCAGGATACAAAACATGCATTGAGGCTTTGAAACATCCAATGTATACATGGCTGAGAAGTCACAAGTGACTGGAACTCCATACTGGACCGCACCATCTTACAGCTCCATCGTCCTGGGACTGGAAACAACAGGACTGTTTTGATTGACATTTTGTCCTCGGTGTTTTCAAGGTCTGATGTCAGAGCTCTGTGGTCCTTCCCCTCATCCCAAGCATGTGGTTTGAAAAGGTTTAGATAACTTAGAAATGGTTGTGTACTTTGGTTTGGTTTTCTGTTTGTCATTCTCCCCCAGGAAGTCTTGTGAGTATCAAGTACGGCTCAGACTCAGGATGCAGACCAGTCCCTTTAGGAAGGCTCAGTGGGGCTGTTTCCCTCTCTGCGTCTTTGTGAAAGGAAGAGTCACAGTACCTGTGGGCTTTCAGGGACTCTGTTTTTCTCCTGTGCCTTAGCAACGGCTGCAGCCATTTTATTAGTTTCACAAAATTAGAAAAACAGTTTTAAACTCCTCCTTACCATTCATTGCTCTCAGAGTTGTGGTCACCAGATTTTTCCTTTGAAAACCACCTCCACCACCAACACCTGTTTGTCTCTCCTTCCCTCCCTCCCTTTCCCCATCTCTCTCTCTCTCTCTCTCTCTCTCTCTCTCTCTCTCTCTCTCTCTCTCTTTCTCTCTCTCTTCACCCTCTCTGTCTCCCTCTCTGTCCCTCCCTTTCCCTCTCTCTCCATCTCTCTTTCTCTCCCTCTCTCTTCCCCCCTTTCTTCCTCCCTCTCTGTCTCCCTCTCTGTCTCTCCCCCTCTCTCCCTCTTTCTCTCCATCTTTCTCTCCCTCTCTCTTTTTCCTTCTCTCTCATTCTCTTTCACTCTGTCTCACTCTCTTGCTCTCTCTGTCACCCCACCCTCACATTCTATTTTCCCTCAGAGCCGTGAATGGGCAGGTCTGTCTCTGGTTTGGCATCGCTGAGTTCGTCCCACGCATTTGCCCCAGAGCTGCTCGGATGTGAGACAAAATCTCTCTACAATGGGCTTGCTCCTATTGTGTGTACTGTTTAATAGATGCTGCCATGTTGGAGGTTACCCATGAGTCAAAAATCCATTTCCCATGCTTACTCTTGACACCGCATTGAAGCCACTCACTGTGTGTGTGTCTGGGTGTGAAGTCCAGCTCCTTCCGTGCAGCCCTGTGCTTGGACTCCCTGCCTTGCTGTCCTTTGCACCTCCTCATCGAGTGCTGTTTTGAAATGCTGACATTATATAAACATAAAAGAAAATGTAAAAAAAATTAAAACACACACACGCAAATCCATATGATCTGTATTTGTATATACACGTGTCCGTACAAGTATACCTAAATAAAAATGGAAGATTTTCATCATTTTAATTGGATCCCTCCTTCTACTTCTTTTTCCTTGAATTACACCTTTATTTCAGGGGTTAGTTATACTCTACCAATTTTTAAAGAAATCTTTGTGAACAGAATGATGATACGGCACAGAGAAGGTAAGGGAGGAGCAAAAACTAGCACATTTATTCTGGCAAGAAGATGGTGGGACTTCTGCCTTGTCTCCTTAAAATAGGCAGTATGACAAAGCCTTGTATGTAAGTGCATCAGGAGTACACACATTGTCTTTTAGTTTGCATATATGCTTCTATCCCTCCAAGATAAAGGCCAAATAAGTGTTTCCTAGTGATCATCTCACACTTAAAAAAAAAAAAAAAGCAATAGAAGTAACTATTTCATTTCAGTAGAGCCCAAACCTCAGTTCTCAGTATCAAGGAAGAATTGACATCCGTGGTATGGCCACAGCAGGTCACATTATATCTTCAACATGCCTATTTATGGATCTGAATGTGGCAACATTTTAGAAGTGACTTATTGCTGTTCTTTGACTCTTCTTGGTCTTTGGCCAGTGTGAAGTCCACTTGCATCTGAGTGATGTTTTTGTCCTTGAAGACCACACAGAACAGTCAGAAAATTTTACCTATAGAGCGAAACCAGCAAATGTGTGATATAACCAACATATCATATATGTCAAGATTTAGCTTTAATGACCTGATATTAACATCAAGCTCACCAAGAGCTTCTTAGGATAATTATTTGGCAGGGCACTAAACACTAATAATTTACCCTGACTTTTTCTTTTGATAACAAAGAGTGATAGCTTTATAGAATGAGAAACAAAATATTGTTTTTAGCAAGATGTAGCTGACTCCATATGGGACATTTCTAACCAGAACAGCATTATATTATCATTACCATCTTCACCATCAACACCCAAAGCATTGAAGCAAAGCAGTCATGAGTTCTCAGTTCTGAATAGAAAGGTGTTCACAGTCTGTCCTTGCGACCTTTGCAATGATAGATGAGGCAGGCTTTACATGAAATCTTAGCTGTAACCATGCATTGGTAATAGTATAAAATTCAGGCCCTTATACCAGGCACAAATAGCTAGGTGAT